GGTGTCTCTCTGAGCCTGTCCTCCGGTTTTCACCCACAGACTGATGGCCAGTCAGAGCGAGCCAACCAGGAGGTAGAGACTAAGCTTCGCATCTTATGTCAGGATGATCCTAACAAATGGGCCGACAACCTACCATGGGTCGAGCATGCTATGAACTCGCTGCCCTCATCTGCCACAGGCCTGTCACCTTTTTATGTAGTTTATGGGTTCCAACCACCAGTGTTCTCCATTCAAGAACAAGAGGTTCGGGTGCCATCCACCCACAGGGCTGCCCTACGATGTCAGCGGATCTGGAGAAGAGCCAGGAGAGCACTCCTGAGGGCTAACGCAACATATGCCAGAGGGGCCAACAAGAGGCGCTCTGTCCAACCTGATTACAAAGTAGGCCAGAAGGTCTGGCTGTCCACGAAAGATCTACCCCTGCGGGTAGATTCCAAGAAGTTGGCACCCCGGTTTATCTGTCCTTTCCCAATCAGTAAGATCATCAACCCCGTGGCAGCCCGTCTTCAGCTTCCTCGTACCATGCGCATCCACCCCACTTTCCACGTCTCTCGCCTTAAGCCTTTTTTTTTTTCAGTCTCACTTTGGGCCCTCCACCGGACCCCCTCCTCCCTCCCCGTTTCATTGATGGTGCCCCAGCTTTCACTGTCAGAAGACTCATCCGCTCCAGACAGTGGGGTCGGGGTATCCAGTGTTTGGTAGATTGGGAGGGTTATGGCCCCGAGGAGCATTCCTGGGTCCCCAGTCGCCACATTCTCGACAAGTCCCTGATTAGGGCTTTTCACCGTGCCCACCCTGACCAACCTGGCGGCCCTTCGGGAGCTGGGCCGTAGGGAGGGGGCTCTGTCATGTTTGGACCCCTGCCACACATTTATCATGTTCTGCTCCTCTGATCAGCTTTGGGTTTATGCTCTACTCTGGCCAGTTCCCCTCTGTCATTTCTAGCTGCCTGTCAATCAACCCTGTGCAGCCTGCCTGCCTGATCCTCCCTGCTCACAGTAATCAGTGCTTATGCTCTACATCTGTTGCCAGCCCTTATAAACTCAACTCTTGCCACAGCAAGGTGCCAGATTATTGAAAGCCTCACAGCAAGTAAATTATCCAGCAGTCCTCGTCCACAGTTTCTTTGTTCATGACCACAGCTTTGTTCTCGACTCCTCGCCTTGTCTTGCCCTTGTCTGGATACCACGCCTGCAGCTTACACTGTACGACCTTGCTCCCCTCTTTGACAACGACCACGGATTCTCCTTTTTGGATCTTTTTGCCTGCTCACACTGGTTCTGGATCTCGACCCCTGCTACGTCCCTGGATTGTTTCCTGCCTCAGCCCAACTCCTGCCCCAGAAGGTTAGTGACGTGCACACCTCCTCTCTCAGCCCTCAGAATCTCTTTGCAGTCACTAACCTGTCTGTCTTTATAGATTGGACCAGAACCGAGGCCCAAATCCACCAGACGCTGCCTTCGTAAAATAAACATTTTTAAATATATTTTTGAGTCAGGTTTTGTGCTGATCCTTACAGACCCATTACAAGTTTCAGTACTTTTTAGTTTGATGCTGTGGATTATGTGAGTTTCAGTACTTTGTAGTTTGATATTGTGGAATATGCGAGTTTCAGTTCTTTTGTAGGTTGATGCTATGGATTATGTAAGTTTCAGTACATTGTAGGTTGATGCTGTGGATTATGTGAGTTTCAGTACTTTGTAGTTTGATGCTGTGGATTATGTGAATTTCAGTATTTTGTAGTTTGACGATGTGGATTATGTGAGTTTCAGTACATCTTAGTTTGATGCTGTGGATTTGGTGAGTTTCAGTACTTTTTAGTTTGACGCTGTGGATTATGAGTTTCAGTACTTTGTAGTTTGATTATGTGGATTATGTGAGATTCAGTACATTGTAGTTTGATGCTGTGGATTATGTGAGTTTCATTACTATGTAGTTTGATGCTGTGGATTATGTGAGTTTCAGTACTTTGTAGTTTGACGCTGTGAATTATGTGAGTTTCAGTACTTTTGTAGTTTGATGCTGTGAAATATGTGAGTTTCATTACTATGTAGTTTGATGCTGTGGAAAATGTGAGTTTCATTACTATGTAGTTTGATGCTGTGGATTATGAGAGTTTCAGTACTTTGTAGTTTGATATTGTGGATTATGTGAGTTTCAGTACTTTGTAGTTTGATGCTGTGGATTATGTGAGTTTCA